TAAATCATCAATACTATAGTATGACTGCCTCAATTAAAATGTCTAATAAAAGTCCATATTATTTGTTGCTTTGTCCACAGAAACTCCCAAGGCCAGTGTCTCCAAACAAGGATCTAAAATGCTAGCAAAGGTATCTTCAGCTCTTTCAAAGGTGTTTTCCAGATCTAATACTAACATTTCTAAATCTTCTTCACCACCTCACCAGGATAAACACTGAAGTTCCTTTACCTGATATAAGTTGCTTACTTCTCTTATAAATAAAATGGTTTTCAAAACATAACATAGTGTCTTATAAGATGATTATTATACTATTGAAAATAAGAGCAAAAGAAGTATAAAAGGGTAATGAAGGGTTTAATAAATGCTTTTGGTAAGAATTTTGGTATAAGAAGATGTTAATAATTAGTATTACCTGTGTGCCATGTGATTAAAAGTGTAATTAGTAAACCAGATAACTCACAGCACCCACCAGAAAATGAATTTTTTTTTGTTCGGTGTTTAGAGGATGTTATTACTGAGATGGTTATCAAATTGAGAAGAAAATCAAGCTGAAAATCAAACTATGAAACAGATTCATTAAGAGTTAACTACATATTTAGATGCTCAAATAAAAGCATTTATATCAAATAAAGAAAATCAGTAGTTCCCACCTACAGGTAAGTCTCATGAGTTCATTAAAATATCTTTCAAGCAAAAGATACAACAATAGATAGAGCCCTATCTAAAATAAATAATAACTATGAATATAATATGATATATGCATGAAATGGCCCCTGTTACTGAAAAAATAAACCCTTTCAAATAAAGTACTTTTATGATAAAATATTACCAATCAAAAATCATTGGTCAATAAAATTATTAAATCTTTCATATAAATATTTTACATGAATACAAACATGAAGACTCCATTCGTAAAAACAAAGAAAAAATGGAGAAAATTTAGCAAGATGGCTAGCTAGGTCAATGATAAAAGAAAATTTCAATATCAGTTTAACTTGCTGCTTTGTGATATTGTCCCAACTTTGGCATGTTTGCCTCTGGAATCCAAGGATGTTGTTATTAATAAAAAGATACAAAAGGTGGACCAAATAGCCAGCAAAGAATGTCAAATATCATTTTTCAAAAGCTTACTCATGAACTTTTAGAGACTGTGTCTTCTCATTTATCTGAAATTTTCTTAAAAGTAGCCAATGCTAAGGCAGAAACATCTGAGAAAATTTTCTTTTACAAAATTGAATTCCTTTTAATGAAGTTATTAATCAGTGTAATTATGACAGGTAGCCCTAAAGAAAAAGTGAGTATTTAGTCAAATTTTTACATATTAATGATAATGAAATTATTCAATTGACAGTTTAATCTATAATAATCTCTTAAAATTATTAATAGTTAATCTCAAAAATCATATGAAATTGTGTAACACATGGATGCAGAACTTTTAAAAAATGATAGTTGCTGGGAAATAGCTAGAAATTCAGTTCATGGTTATTTTCAGGAGAGCTAATTCTATATCAGTGTGCATTAGTTGAGACTGTTGTTGAAAGTATCATTACAGATGTTATCTGAATCGCTGGTGTTTCTAAGACTTAGGTATCACATGCTTATAAGCTGTTTCAACATAACAGAAGATTTCACTGTAAAAATTTAAAACAGTCTGGTTCATATACTTATGGATTTAAAGATTTAATATATCAGAGTAATGTACTCTCCTATATAAGACTTTCCTATATAAGAAGTTTTCTAACAGTGAAGGAAGTTTTCTATTTTCTCCAGCTCAAATAGAGGAGGAAGTATCAAGTTCAGAATTAGTCCTTGAAGTTCGCAAAATTTTGGAAAAAATGGTTAATATTGTTGACAAATTTAAGTCCCATGAAAAACCAAAAGGATTTTGTGTTAGATGTAATGTGTTAGATGAAAGATTGTTCTTATTCTCAACTAAACTAGTGAGAAATACTCTAAACTGGAGAGAATATGCTAAAAGTATCAAAGATTTATTGAAAAAAATGCATCTTTTCTGATCAAATAGATAGTAGCTGAAATTTCTAGAAGTAACATTATTCTTTTTACTAAAGACTAAAGATAAAGAAGAAAGATTTCTAAATTCATAAAGTATTGAAATTACATCTTTAGCTATTGATTCTTTTTATGTGGCATTGAAAAGGAGGTTGGAAAACTTTCTATGTGAAAGGCTAGATAGTCAACATTTTAGGTTTGTAGGGCTCATGATCTTTGTCAAAACTACTCCATTATGTTATTTTAGTACAAAAGCAGCTGTAGACAACACATAAATGAATGTGGATGTGATCCAGTAAAACCTTATTTATGGATATTAAAATTTGAATTTCATTTAATTTTCACATGTCACAATATATTATTACTCTCTTGATTTTTTTACTAACTTTAAAATGCAAAAACCATTCATAGATTGGTCAAATCCAAATGACAGGACATATTTATCCCATGCTCACCTCTGAACTATAATTTGGAACCTATGAGTAAGTTTATTATGATATGAAGGGTACTGATTATTGCCTAAAAATAATGACCTTTACTAGTAAAGGTTCAAATTCAGTTGCACAAACTTGGTTCATAAAATTTGAATGTTGATCTCTTTAGTGATTTGCTTATTGAAAATACTGTTGAAAAACCATATAAGCATGCTGCTAAAATATACATTGTGTTAGAAAAAGAAGAGTTAGATCAAGATTTAATTTGAAGGTAAATTTCTAGTTAAAAATTCTTTCTTACTTTGGGAACAGTCGATCAAAATGGATACAGATGTAATATCAGAACACTTCGGTAGTCATTTTTGTAAAAACAAACAAACAAACAAAATCTCAGTTTCACTGCAGCAAAATGAAGTAGGAAGCTCCAAGCTACAGAAACATTCACAAGTAAGCAAAAATTGTCAAAACCAACTTTTCCAGAACTCTGGAAAACAGTCAAAGGTTTATAGCAACTAAGCAAACAATGAATCAAGAAAAGGTTAACTGCAAATTATAGGAAATACTGGTGGTATTTTTACCTGCCCTTTCCCAGCCCTCTTCTCAGCACAGCAGCAGTCTTAAAGAAAGGAGTCTGTATTCTCAGTGTGGGGCCTTTTCAAGAGAGCAGAAAAGATCCTATTGGAAAATTATTGTATTTGTCTCTTCTCAACTGTCTGGGGGCTACATGAACAAGTGACACAAGTCATGAGTCTCTATTTTGACTAATTGGGAACTCAGACTTGAAAAGCAGTGGACGTTGATCAAAAATACTGAAAGCCAAATAACAGCCTGCCGATTCCTGAGACAAAAGACCATAATAGAAATACGAAATAGATGTGAAAGGCCTGGGAACAAAAGCTCGGGAGTTCTTTAAGAAATTAAAATGTTCAAAATCTCCCATGTGAAGGAACCCAGAAAGCCATGCATATGTACGGGGAAGACTTATGTTCAGAAAATAATCGAAGTACCCTAAGATTTCACATCAGGTTTACCCTTTGGCTCAGTGCAAGCCTAAGCAAGAATTTAAGTGTAGTCCCGGCACAGGCCAATCAATACAGACCAGGAGATGCATTTTTAGTAAGTTTCCTTGTTTTGTTTTTGTTTTATTTTGTATTTTAAATCCTGACACTCAAGAAAATCTCTGTCAAAACTCTAACTAAACACCAGGAATGGAAACTTTAGTGATCATACAAGCTAAGGAACACAGTCTTTAAAAAACTAGTCTGGCACTTTCACTAAACAAATAGACTACTACAGCCTTCAACAATGAAAAATCAAGGATGTCATCTAGGAAAGGGGGAGATCGGTTTCCAGAATTACCACATAATATCCTTACACTTGCTTTTTAACAACAACAAAACAAAATCAAAGGAGGACCACTTAGAGGTACAAAAGAAATAGCTAGAAGCTATTCCTAAGCAATTTTATACTTTAGACTATTAAAATTATACAAAGATTATAGAACAACTTTTAAATATACACAAAGTGCTAAAGGAAAATATAGAAAAAACTAAAGGAAATCAGGGAAACCCTGTATAAACAAAATAAAAACATTAATAAAAAGATAGGAATTATTAAAAAAGTAAACATACACTGTGGAAAAGTTTGGTGGTTCCTCAAAAAATTTAACATAGAATTACCACAAGATTTGTTAATTCCTTTTCTAAGTGTATACCCAAAATAACTGAATGCAAGGACTCAAAGAGATACTTGTACATCAATTTTTATAGCAACATTGTTCACAAAACCAAAGGTGGAATCAACCCAAATTTCCATCAGCAGATAAATGGATAAGCAAATATGGCATGCATGCAATAGAATATTATTCATCCTTAAAAAGGAATGAAATTCTAATATATGCTATGACATGGATGAACCTTGAAAACATTATACTAAGTGAAAAGGCAGACACTAAAGTACACATGCTGTATGGTTCCATTTGTAGGAGGTACACAAAATAGGCAAATTCATAGAAAAAGAGAGTAACTAGACATTAGCAGGATCTGGGGAGAGAGAGGAATGGGAAGTTATTATTTGATGGGTACAATGCTTCTGTTTGGAATGATAAATAAGTTCTGGATATGGGTAGAGGTGATAATGGCACAACATTATGAATGTACTTAATACTACTGAATTATACACTTAAAATGGTTAAAATGGTAAATTTTATGTAATGTATCTGTTACCACAATAATAAAAAAAAAGGAAACATAAAGAAGTTCTGGAGCTGAAAAATACAAAAACTGAAATTAAAAATTTACTAGATGCAAATTTTACCACATCCCAACCTCTGGTAACCACCATTTAACTTTCTGTTTTGAGGAGTTGACTTTTTTGACACTTCACATATAAGTGAGAACATGTGTACTTGTCTTTCTCTGCCTGTCTTATTTCACTTATAATGTCCTCCAGGTTCATCCATGTTGCCACAAATGACAAAATTTTATTCCTTTAATGGCTGAATAATATTTCATTTTGTATTTATACCATATTTTCTTTATTCATTCATCTATTGATGGAAACTTAGTTGATTGTATATCTTGGCTATGGACAAAGATGCAAAAATCTTCAACAAAATACTAGCAAACCAAATCCAGCAGCACCTCAAAAAAATTATAAACCATGATCAAGTAGGATTTATCCCTTGATGGTTCAACATATGCAAATCAATAAATGCAAATCAATAAATGGGATACATAACATCAACAGAACGGACAAAAACCATAATATCATCTTAATAGATGCAGAAAAAGCATATGATAATATCCAACATCCCTTTACAATAAAAACTCTCAACAAATTGGATATAGAAGGAAGGTAGCTCAGCACAATAAAGGTCACAACTACCATCATACTGAATGGGGAACACTTGCTTTTCCTTTAAAAACTGAATTAAGACAAGGATATCCACTTTCACTGCTCTTATTCAACATAGTACTAGAAGTTCTAGTCAGGACAATAAGGCAAGAGAAAGAAAGAAAGAAATGGCATCCAAATTGGCAAAGAGGAAGTCAAATTGTCCCTTTTTGCAGATGATATAATCTTATATAGGGAAAAGCCTAAAAACTCTACAAAAAGAAGAAAAAGAAAAAGAAAACCTCTTAGAACTGATACACAAATTCAGTAGAGTTTCAGGCTACAAAATCAACATAACAAAAATCACTCCTTTCATTATGTAGATCCAAGCTTCTGAACTATAGTATACATTCTCTCTGAACAGCTCTTAATATTTCTTGCAAAGCAAGTCTACTGGTAATAAATTTCCTCAATGTTTGTTTGTTTGAGAAAGTCTTTATTTCTCCTTAATTTTGAAAAATAATCTTACACGGTACAGAAGTCTATGTTCATGTTTTTTTTTTTTAATTTTCTCTTAACACTTCAAATATTTCGTGCCACTCTTCTTTTTTTATTTTTATTTATTA